GATAGCTCGATCGGCCAATTTGGATAGGAATCTGCTCAGGGCTGCTAACCGACCGGTCAATCTCTGCACTTCTTTGAGATTTCTTGGAGCCTCCATGTCCACAATTGCCTTTACTTTTTCTGGATTGGGCTCAATCCCCTTCTCGCTCATCATGTACCCCAAAAATTTGCCTCCTTTCACAGCAAAAGCACATTTTTTGGGATTCAGTCTCATGTTTGCCTTTTGCATTATCCCGAACACCTTTTCTATATCCAGGACATGGTTTTCCTTCTTTTTGCTTTTGATCAGGATGTCATCAACATAGGCTTCCATTGTGACACCCAGCACTTCTTTGAACAGCATCCCGATCATCCTCTGGAAAGTTGCCATCGCGTTCTTTAATCCGAATGGCATGACGATATAGCAAAACACACCATCCGAAGTAACGAATGCCATTTTCTCTGCATCGGCCGGGTGCATGAATATCTGATGATAACCCCGGAAAGCATCCATGAAGCTCAGTAATTCACATCCGGCAGTTTCATCCACTAGCAGATCGATCCTCGGCACTGGATAGGGATCCATGGGGCACGCTTTATTCAGGTCAGAGTAATCCACGCACATTCTCCAAGTAGATTGTTTTGGGGCTAGAACCACATTGGATAGCCATTCTACGTGGATTACCGGACGGATGTGCTTTATTCTCAGCAAGGTGGCCACCTCCTTCTTTGTGAATTCCCGCCATTCGGTTGCTTGATACCGTTTCTTCTGTTGGACTGGTTTTGCATCAGACCGAACGACAAGTTTGTGACATATTATCTCCGGATCAATGCCGGGCATATCTTCTGGCCTCCGGGCAAACAACACCTGAAACTTTTTTAGGACGGCGATCACGCCATCCCGGATATCAGCCTCCAGATCTACCCCGATCGCCACCTTACGGTTCGGGGGGAAGTCGAGGTCGATTTGTTCAAGGAGGGTGGCGGGCTCTGGGTGTTCCTCGAACTCCGTTCGGTGTGTTTCCACCTCAATTGTATTAACCCGCATCCCACGAGTGTTCATCTGTTTTAGGGCCTCCCGATAACACGTCCGGGCTGTCGTTGGATCAGTTCTGGCCACCCTTACCCCAGTGTCTGTAGGGAATTTGATGCATGAGTGGCGGACAGAGGCTATTGCCTCCAGATCTTCCAATCCCGGTCGGCCCAATATGGCATTGTGGGCACACTTTATATCTACCACCACGAACGTCATTCGGAGTGACACTTTGTGGGTTTCATCCCCAATTTCAACCATTAATTGGACGGTCCCCTCCGCCTCGATGCAGTTACCGGTAAAACTTGCCAGTGGGCTCCGTAGGTGGGTCAGTTGGCTCCTTTGTAGACCCATTTTCTCGAATGATTGTAGATACAATACATTCACACTGCTCCCGGTATCGACCAGTATTCGGCGGATCAAAGCATTGTCAATACACATGCTTACCACCAGTTCATCTCTGTGTGGGCTTGGAGAGTTGGGTAAATCAGCTGGCCCGAACGTGATCGGGTCTGTCCTTCCTTTCTTCTGGGGGGAGTGGAGACGGATCCCACATAAAGACTTCGCTCGAACCTTTTCCGTTCGGCGTTCGAATCTCCGGTCTACCCGCCCCCAAATATAACCTTGACCTCCATTCGAGGCTTCTTTCCAGGGCCTCCCGAGCCCTCTGGCTCATCCCTGAGGGGAACATACACATCATTTTGAGGCTGGGCGTCACGTTGAGCATCCCGGCGCCTGCTATTAGGTTTCCTGGCCGGTTTCAACGTGCCCATAGCATTCGGATCTTTGTTCACATATTTGCCCAGATGGCCCCTTCGGATCAGATCCTCAATGGCTGTTTGTAGGGCCCTGCAGGCATTGGTGGCATGACCCTTTCTGTTGTGATATTTACAGAATGCATTGTCATCTGTTCCCATGAACTGTCCAGAATCAGTCGGGATGGGAATATTGTCCCTCTCGTGCTGATAGATGGTCGTTATTGATAGGACCAGGGGTGTAAATCTCCCTTGTTTGGGAGGTAAAGCGGCCGCTGGGCTAGGACCCAGTCGATCGGCCATTCTGATCGGGGCAGCAGGCGTAATGACCTTATCCCTGATCATTATCTCCTCTTCTAGGGCGGCATGCTTGCGAGCCCTATCTAATACCTCGGCGTACACCGTACCCGGATTTTTCTTCAACTCTTTGTTCAACTCCCCCGTTCGGAGAGCATTTGTGAATAGGGTAATGGCGGTATCATCCGTCATGTTTCCCACCGTTAAAGTTTCATCCCTCCACCTTTTCAGGAATTGATTGAGGGTCTCTTTGGCGTTTTGCTTCACGCTGGTCAAATAGCTGAAGTGCCGTTTGGGATTGGCACTGGAAGCAAACTGAGCCAAGAATAACGCTGATAACTCGGCAAAACTGTTGATTGACCCGGGCTGCAGTGTCCCGAACCACTCCTGGGCAGGCCCCCTGAGCGTGCTGAAAAACAATCGGCAAATGGCGGCCTCGGGTGCTCCTAGCAGCATAAGTCCCCCTTGGTAACTCCTCAGATGTACGTGAGGATCTCCCACCTCGTCATAAATTTGGCCGGTCGGGGGCTTGGCACCCCCTTGGATATCTGCGTACATGAGTTCCCTAGTAAACGGGGAAGTAATTCCCAGCTGAACTGGGGCAGGTTGTACAGGTACCATGTTCATCTGGTCCCGCATTTCATTCATTTGCCTCCTCATCTCGGCCATTTCTTCCTCCTGGGCCGTCAAAGGGGGTGGTGGTGGAGCCCTCATATCCGTACAGTCCCGGTCCCAATGCCGCTGAGGGGCCCTAGTATTTTCCCGCTCGGCATACTGAAATGATGACCAATGGGAGTTGGTCTTATAGCTTGTGATCCGACCGGGGTTCGGTCACTGGGACTGTGGTGCGCTGTTGGTGGGGCGCTACGTCGATTATCCCGATGGACATGTGAACGGGATGACGCTGTGGTTATTTCCGTGCGTGGGGTCTCCCCTGTAAAGCTGGAACCTCCTTCCTCTTCGTTCGCCATGTGCTGCATGACCCGGGCCATGTCACGCATGGCCTGAGGATTTCTTCTCAGAGACTCAGGAATTACAAAATCCCCATCGAAACGAGGATACGATCCTCGACTGGATTGTCCCTGAGGGTTTTGACTCCCCGGGGTGTGACTCCTCCCGTGACGGCGTGAACCATCGCTTGTATGATAGGAACTGATTCTGACCATTTTTGAAAAATAAAGGTTTTTTGGATGATTTGAAAGTGAAACTTTTTGCAAGTTTCACACAGACGGCGCCAATGTTGAGGGTAAATCCCGTAGATCCGAAAGCCCAACACGAACTTTGGATATATCAGGAATGACACAGAATCAAAGCGTGTAAAAATATAAGGTCTGAACTAACTAACACTCGAAAGCTCACTTGTATTAATTAACCAGTCTGATTACAAGGAATTTCCCGATCGGTAGGTCGGAAACTATGCTTTAATACAAGAAATAAGAGCAATGATGCTATTCTAGAGCCTGAGTATTGAAATGCTAACCCTTACTGATGTCACAGTCTGGCATTAATTGTACCTGGTCACTTGCTGATTGGCCGTTGCTCGAACGGGATATCGGGCTGTACTGAAGATACTGTCAAATTGGCCCAAGTATGATATATAGTCCGAACTCCGTTCGGTATGTTTTCTTACTGGGCCAACCTTGTTTGGGCCGAACTCCGTTCGGTATGTCTTTGATGGATAGTCTACCCGGGGGGTATATATCCGAGGGGTTATTGCTGAGAATAACTTAGAGAGAAGTCAGAGCACAAGTAAGTAAGAGAGAGAGTGTATTCAGTATGAATGTGGAGCGTTTTCAGCGTGGTTACAAATGGGAAATGGGGTGCTATTTATAGTAGCAATAAATGCCGGACAGGGACACGTGTCAAGCGCCCATTGGCCGAGAGGTCACCTCAACTGGTTGGCGTTGGCAGCCGCATGTGGCCGCATTTAATGCGGCTGTTGGATGGGACGTCTGTACAGGGTACGGTGATCTGTACGCATGTGAGGCGGATATCATGTCGGGAGAGATGCCCTCGGCTGCAGAGGACTAGCCGAGGGCTCTTAGTGCTGAGGACCCCTGAGTGCCGAGGGCTCCAGGTGCCGAGGGCTACTGTTTTCTGCCGTTTTCCCCCAGTTTCTTAGTTTGCTCGAGAAACCCGTTCTGTGAGAGTTTCAGCCTTCGGCCAGGGGGCCGAAGGCACCCCTGGCGCGTATTGCGGGCTGCTTGGTACTCTGAGCGCTGTGATTTGGGCATGTTGGGCCTTCTGGGCTTGTTGGGCCTTTACTGGAGTAGTAGGAGTCTATGGGCCGAGGGTTCCCGGGCCATATACTCCATCAGTCTTCTTACTGGATCTATTCATCATAGAGTGATGGGCCCGTTGTTTGGGCCGGATATCTTGGGCCTTCCCGATCTGGGTATTGGGCCTCTAGGTCAATATCCCAACAACTCTCATATCTAGGAGGTTGAGACATATAAAGCAAATTAATCACTGTGAACACTCAAATTAGTTTTAGAAAATAAAATTTACATATTCAAAAACTACATTAAAACCGCTACAAAACCTGCAAAAAATAATTCAAATTTCATAAACTTTTGATATATAAAGAAAAAGATTAAAAGTGATTTATGTTGACCAAGTGAATAGTAAATGTATTTTATAATTTGAGACTGAGAGAGTAATTTTTACAACAATAAGCACATGCATAAGCCAAAACTATAATCACAAATTAGTACTCCAAAAGACGGTGATTCTTCATCCGTATTCCATGGTGTTGGTTAGTTTATAAAAGCAATTATCAAAATTTTGAACATATCAAACATATCAAAATTCTGAACCATGTCAAATTAACGCTACCGGGGTATGCCCAGGGTCACTAGTATTTCTTTAAACTAGTATGTTTATATACGGAGTACTTTCCGCTCAAAACCCTAATTCTAGCTTCCTTAACAAACGCGAAGCAGTTGGCAGGGAAAAAGGAGAAAATGAGTAAGGGTAGCAGCGCAGCCGCCACGAAAGGTGGGAAGAAGGGTGTGACCTTCGTTATCGACTGCTCGAAGCCGGTGGATGACAAGATCATGGATATCGCCTCTCTGGAGCAGTTCCTCCAGGAGCGAATCAAGGTCGGCGGTAAGGCCGGAGCGCTAGGAGACTCAGTCACCATCACCCGAGATAAGACCAAAATCACCGTCACGGCAGACTCCAACTTTTCCAAGCGGTAATCCATTACTGATCTGTAGATCTTCACATGTTACTTTTCCTGAAACTTATCATTTATTTCTGTGGACTTGATTTAGAATACTTTACGCTGCTTATTAGCTGGTGTATAGCACTCTCAATGCTTGATAACAGCAACTATGAAGTGAATTGTTGCTATAAAAGGCTTATTACGAAATGTCTAATACCAGAGGCTTAACAAATTTCAGCTATTATGTTTGATATGGTGGTATTTAGTTCTAAATTGAGTTGATCTGAACTACGAAGTATCACATTAGTTTAGTACTCCGTACTTAATCGATCGACATCAAATTGATCTGTAGCATTTTTCATAAAGAACTTTTTTAAAAAATTATTGGAAACTGTGAATTTATATTAATAGTTCTCATTACACACAGAACAATTTTGTAGTGAATAATTTTACGAGTTATGTGCCTAGATTCATTGGTTGTGTTTGTTCTCAAGTCTCAACTTAAAGAACTTTTTATAGATGATGCTCTGTAAAAGAAATTAATAAATTACTTTCTAGATTTTCCTAAACGCTAAGAACTGTCTTGAGAGCATGTTGTCACTGCTGATTTTACTTGTAACTCCCTTATGGGTGTGTTTGGATGGGGTATTTAGGAGGCTAGTGAGTTATTTTTGTTCTACTAATGTACTACCTATGTTTTTTTAAATTGAAACGGTTTGACTTTCACATTTTCCAACACACAAATTTGACTGTAATTATATTTAATTACATATTACTCTGTAGTAAACATTATAAAATGTTAATTTTTTAGAAATTCACATAAGTAATATTTTAATATTATTTTATACACGATAATTTGATTATATACGTTAGTAGAAAATGATAAACAAATTAAAGAGTGAATAGTAGAAAAATCACAATGTTGCAACTGTTTAAGACAATAGGAAGTATTTTTTATCATTAGGCAGTTCAAAATAATGAAAGTAAAAATACATCAACCTCTTAACATGACTATTCATAAATTATTCATTGCTACCAAATTCCTTAGCAGTTAGGGGCGCCTACTTTGTTTTAAAAAGTGATTTATAATTTTTCTTTAAAAAGTTCAAAATAGTTTTTCAAGCAGGCTCATATGCTTAAATTTAGCATTTGTAAGCAAAGAGTAGGAGGCATAAAATGATAAAACTGCACTTCTTTTTGCAACGCCAAAAAGTACTTTTGACCAAATAACTTTGTGCTTTAAAGAATCACTTTTCTTTTAAACACTACTAACTTGTATGGCTAAACATTTTTTCCATTTACTCTCTAAAGTACACAACTTTCCAACAAAAGAGGCAAACTTGAACACTCATTTAGCATAAGACATAAGTAAATATAAACCTGTATATCATAAAATACTACTACTCATCTGTTACCTCTAAAATTCCCTAACCAAACATGCCCTGGATGTAAAGATATTTTAGATTTCCTATTCCTTCAATGCTTCCTATTCCTTTACAGAATTTTTTTACTTTCCTTATATTGATTAATTGATTTTTGATAATGTTGCACAGGTATTTGAAATACTTAACAAAGAAGTATCTGAAGAAGAACAGTGTGCGAGATTGGCTGCGTGTTATATCCTCGAACAAGGATAAAAATGTGTATGAATTGAGATACTTCAACATTGCCGAAAATGAGGCAGAGGATGAAGATTAAGAGGTTGAGTTACACCTTTCAATCTCTAGACACCATTGAATTATTAGTTTAAAGTGCTTGATTTTTCATTCCTGAGATAGATGTGCTGAACAGCTACGAAAACTGAATTTTGGTGACTACGTTGTGAGCATATCATTTGGTAAGAATGTTTTGTTTCAATAGTATTTTCTTGACTACCTTTAACATCGGTATGGTATTAGACTCATATGGCAACACTCTGTCAAGGTCTTTGCAAAAATGTTTTTATGTTAGGCTTAATTGATCTGCTTTACTATATGTGTTCTGCTTTCCTGTTGGCCTAACGCCATATATCTATTATAGGGGCAATTATGACTTGTTCATTTGAATTGGGCCAGTCTGGTTTATACTTTAGAGTGAAGTCACATTGTACTAGGGCTGATAAGCTGATTTGTGACTCATTTAAAAAATATGCCAAAGTATGCCTTATTTTTCAATTTCAGTCTATTTTTTAACACAAATAAGATACTCCTACAAGTCTCGGTTCTTGATATGAGGATTTTTATTGTTTTTAGTTGAAGTGTTTGATTATTTTATATTTTATCCGTTTCCTTTTTTGAGAACATTAGCCATATTTTTTACCCTCTTTCCTGAGAGGTTTTTACTTGAATTGAAATTTGTTGGTCTGATCTTTTTTAAGTCTAGTTTGGTCTTTTTAAGTCTAGTTTGGTATGTTCTGGTTTGTTTAAGTTTGGTCTTTTTAAGTCTAGTTTGGTCTGATCTTGGACTGAAAACAGTTCAAATAAAAAACATCCCTACTCTTCCTCTCCTTTCATTTTTTCGTACCACACTGTTTTCTAATCTCCACAAAATACCTTTGGTGCCGTTTGGTCAAGCTTGAGAGTACAAAATCTTTACATTTTAAGAATTTTAGCACTATCGGTATGTTGGGGCTTGTAATTATTCAGGAGCTGTTTAGAGCTGAATACAATGGGTATGGGTTTATAAATTAACTCATTGTCTCGCACTTAAAAAATGGGGATTTGGTGCTACAATGCCCGGCTCCTGTCATGCAATTGAAGAATGTGTAGGAGAAGTTAGAAGGGGTGGAAGCAAGAGAAATCTATCAACTGAATTTTTACTTTTTTTGCATTTTTCATTTCAGACTGAATTTGCTTGTGTATTATGTTGTTTGAGCCGCTAATAGCCTTTATGATCTCACTATTTCAGCAATTAAATTAGTTTTGCTCTTTCCGGGTGGACTATTTTATGTCTGATCATGATGTGAGGGGCGATGCCGCGATGGGCTTTTGATATTGATTGGATAGAGGTAGATTTAGGTCTTGTTACATGATCGTTGCTTTGTTTCAGTTGATTTTAATATAAGATATTTCCTTTATATAAAAAAGATAACAAGAACAAAGAAGAAAATACATAAGAAAAAAGTTACAAAGAAGAAAAAAGTGAATGCGGAAATGAAAAGGAAATATAACAAAAATAGAGTGGAAAAAAGACTTTAATAGGAAGAGAATGACTAAGAAGAGAAACATGAAAGGGAAATGAAATAAATATACATAATACATTTTGAGGTCTTTTGTAATGTCAATTTCGTTACTTCTGATTCTAAAGTTTGTTACATTGCCTTTTCCCAAACGAATGTTTTGTAACGATTTTCAAAATTAATTGTAACGCTCGCACTGCCTTTTCCCAAATGAAAGTGTTACAATTGTAACGGTCTTTAATGTGTAACTCCTAAGAAAAAATATGTAACAAATGTCACATGTATTCTCTAATGTAACGGTTTATAATATATATTTATATGCATCCACGTACTCAGTTATTTATTAAACTTGAAGATGAGCAAACAAAATAAGTAGGGCAAACATCAAATGACATTTATCATGTTTTTATTCAAAATAAGAGCATGCTACAATAAAGTAGGGGACATGATACCCCAAGTATAAGATTTAAACACCTCTAACATTTGAGGCTAAACTAACAATATCCTAATAAACAATGAAGTTACTGCTATCAAAACTGGACTTGGTTAAAGAATGAAAGTTTATCGGACGGTTCTTTAATGATACTCCCTCCGTCCCAATTTACTTAGCAAAACTTGACTTTTCAAGTCAACAGCGTCTAACTTTGATCGATTATATGTTTATATAAAGAAAGTTTTGATAATATGAAAATGATATGAAAATGTTCTTTGTTAAAAACACTATTATAAGAGTATAAAATTATTAAATTTTGCATAAATTTATTAGCTTAAATAATTGGTCAAAGTTAGAGGCCGTTGACTTGAAAAGTCAAGTTTGTCTAAGAGAATTGGGACGGAGGTAGTACCTTCCAAGGTGAGAAAGATTTTGATTGTCTTCAATCTTGGGTGGGACTTGGGAGTATGCTTGGACTCGGGCCGGGTCGGGCCCGGGCCGGGCTGCCGGTTCCATATGCTTAGGCCTGTTACCGGCCCGGGTCTTGACCGGCTCCGGGTCGGGCCGGTTCCGGTTTTTTTTATTCTAATTTATTTCACCCCTCACCCCCATCCCCCCCATCCCTCCAAACCCCTCGGAAATACCCAACCCAACCCAACTAACCTCAGCCCAAACCCAAAAAATAAAAAAAAAAGGTCCGAACTGGGCTCGGCCCGGCCGGACCGGTTCCCATTTTCCCTTACCCATGCCCGGAACCCGTAGACCCCCCGGGCCTAGGCCCGAACCGGAACCGGACCTGGTTTCCCGGGCCGGGTCGGTCCCGCACAGTAGCGGGCCGGGCCGGTTCCCGGGCCGGGTGGCCCGCACCGAGTCCAAGCCTAGGTGGGAGCATACCAACAGCCGTAGCCAGATCTAGCAGAGAAATGGAGCTGAGAATCAAATTTGACCTAAAATGGAGTTTATTGGTGTTAACGAGTGATCGTTTAGTTGCAACTCGGTCACTGAATAGGCAAATCATTCAAACATAATCTAAATTAAACAACCTGCATCCACTAAAGATAACAAAAGGATTCAAAAGTTGCTAGAAACTCTTATAATTTACCTTTGAACCAAAAGAGTATCATTTTTAAAGTTCATTGAAATAACAAGTAGAGCCCCCAAAGAAATCATTAGTCACATAAGATGGCAGAGAGTATATTATCTACTCATAGCTAGCCTACAGTTTTTTTTCTTCCTTAAATCATTTTTTATTCATATTTAAAACAAAATATATATATCCCTGCTCATTAATCCATAACCAGTGGTTTATATATTAATTGCTCATTGGATGCATAGTCTCATAAAGGCTTTACATTAAGTTTGCAAAATCCCTGTAGATCTAAAACACCAGCCAGGTAATTATAATAACAATTAACCTTCATCATTAATATTATCCTGAGATTATGTTATCCCAGAATCATATAAATCATAAATGGCACAGAGCATCAATTAATTTCAATGAACATATAACGAGTCTCCATACCTGCCATTCCAAAACTAATTAAATTGGTTGAGATATTAAAGTTTACATTTGGAGGGAACATGTCATGTGTTTTTTTAACCCGGTAGGCAAATCACCAAAATCGGTGGTACAAACACGGGAAACATTTGCCACGAATATGTCATGTGTTTGTTCATACTTCTTTTTTCTTCCATCACTGCGTATTTGATCTTGTTTAGTTATATTATACGTAGTATATAAAAATAATTGAAACTTTCAACACAAGTTTACTATCTACATAATTTGAATGTCATAAACCAATTAATCAAAGAGACTACAGGGACAGTAAATGCAGAGTTCATCAACCAAAAAAACTAGATAACTTATAACCTCTTAAATGAAAAACTGAAAGTTGCCCAAATAAAACAATGCAGTCTCAGTTTTCAGGCGCTTATCATGAGCTGCGGTAAGAACAAAAGGATAGGGAAAGGAAGAAAAAAGCGTCTAGAGATATAAATGAATATAAAGAAAGAAAAATTTTAGGGAGAAAAAAAAATTAAATATGGGACCGTTTTGAGCAGATTTATCAAATGTGCGATTATTTATGTAATGTTTTCAAAGAAAGGGCAAAAAACCTAGTAGAGTAGGTCATCAACCGGTCGGTCCAACAAAATTAAAGAAGATGCTACGGAAAGATAAGATTATTTTGGGATTACGTAAAAGTGAGATTATTATAAGAAGACCTGTGAAAGGTAAAATTATTCTTGCCAATTTTTCCTTCTTTAAATTATAATTCGTCTGGCGAACAAAACTATGCATAAGGAAGGTAGAGTTAGGATGAAGAAGACAAAAACTTGATTAGTTCTCTGATGTTCGTTATGTATAAAAAGCATGCATTCTATTGGGGATTTATAGTGTTGTGGACAAGAGATACAATTCCAAAAAGATACATATTAAGAAAAGATGGCGACCCTTCTCTTGATGTTTGCCATTATCCAAAAATATTTGTACAAAAAATGTGTTTATATCTTATAGCCACTCGAGTGGGTACAGACATCTACATGCATGAAGTGTAATTCCGCCCTACTCTATGTGACAGAGACGGATCCAGGATTTCGAGTCAAGGGGGCAAAATTTTTTTCGTTAGTGTAGTGGGTGAATTTTTTTTCGCTCCACGCGAAAGTTTTTTCGCTAGTGTAGGAGAGCGTTTTTTTTCAATAGTGTAGGGCTTTGCGGCTAATTTCTATTCAAAAAGAATTCATATATAGATACATACATGATGACATTTAAATATATTACATTCTAAGTTTAGACAATGGAAAAATAACTTTGATTTTATAATTGTAAGTGCTTTAGAAAAAATATTAATGCATTAAAGCGTAAAAAATAGCAAATCAAAGAAAAATTATTTGAAAATAAAAGAGGATGTATAACATTTTATCAAATTAAATTATTTGAAAGCAAAGAGTTTAAAAGGTGCACAACCACCAATTTTTTTTAAATAACCTTTGCCATGTTTAATCACATAAATCTTATCGGTACAAGGAATTGATTTTTGAATTTCAAATTTTGTATACCAAGAAGGGTGTTCGTGACTTATGAGAAGTTTTGCTAATATTACATTACAATACTATGTTTGAGATTATTATATTTAGAATAATATTATATTGCTAATTCTTATATGTGGTGCATATTAAATTTGTATTAATGCCTAAAATAAACTAAACTTTATTATCTATGCAATAAATTATTTTTAAAAAGTAAGAAGTAAATGCATTGTGTAATTTTAAATTCACTTCGCATGATCTAAGAACTGTGTTTAACTAGGGTGTCTCGTATTTAATATTGTTTGATATTTTACAAATCGAGTACTAATTATCTAATAAATTAACGATAATT